CTTCGGGTGCAAAAACGATGATCACCCTACACATGTTAGGTATCGCCGCGTGCGCCAGAGCGAGAGAAATATTTTTCAGCACAATAATCACAGTCAAATCTAAACTGATGACCTGTACGGGCTTTGAAAGCATTGCCTATGGACAATTTGGGGTGCCGTATCTTGTCGCCATTTCAGGGGCGCAAGCAATTTTTTTAACCTTTGCATGTATCTATATACTCGGCACAACCTCATCTTTTATATTTTATTTACAAAATGGGTATTATATTGTATTTTTGTGCACTAAAATTAACGAAAGCGTATTTTTAACTGAAACTTTGTGTTTAACAAAATGCCGCGCGGATGTCATGCGCCATAAAAAATATGCCGCCGCTGCCATTTTATTCTGCAGGGTCTCTGCTTTCAGGAAAGATATCATTCTGGGGGGGTTTTAAGTCATCGTTAGGCCTAAAATGTGGATAACGCCCGTGGAAGAAAACGCAAAAAAAACGTTGTTTCTTTAACATTGTATCGAAGGTTGAAAATGATTTTGGTGAAACTCTTTCCCTCCTCCTCCCCTCCCCCCCGTCCGAAATCATTCCGCCTCCCAGGTGTCCCAATGACACAACCGCTCCTTTTTATAAGGCTCCGGAGCCCGGAAAAAAAAAAAAGTGTTTTCGGCTCGCCTCCCTGATTTGTGAAGTGCGCCCTGTGGATAAGATGGGATTTAGAATGTCACGGTGATACATTGATTGTTGCGCGGAGACTGAAGGTCGCCGCCACCTAATAAGTTGGGGAACTTCCATCCAACACTAACTCTGAGCGGGTGACAAAAGTAACTTATTCCGCGTCGGCCCCACGGACCTGACGGGCCGAGGAAGAAGCCGAGCGGCGGAGAGGGATGGGCGGCAGGCGCTGCGGATGGCTCCTCGGAGATCACTTAGCCCCGGACTTGCTCGAACATGTGAATCCTGTGGCTCATAATTTTGCTTAAGCGCGCCTTTCCGAAGCCAGAGCTGTCATTCCCGGGATTCATTTCCGAAGATAAGGCAAAGTTTAGAAGTGTCTTCCCTGGTGATACTGTACACAGTACATGGAAGGAAGGCTGGTGTGCAGGTCACAGGTAGATACACCTTGCCCCTGAGTACACAGTACATGGAAGGAAGGCTGGTGTGCAGGTCACAGGTAGATACACCTGGCCCCTGAGTACACAGTACATGGAAGGAAGGCTGGTGTGCAGGTCACAGGTAGATACACCTTGCCCCTGAGTACACAGTACATGGATCGAAGGCTGGTGTGCAGGTCACAGGTAGATACACCTTGCCCCTGAGTACACAGTGCATGGAAGGGATGCTACTGTACAGATCACAGGTAGATACACCTGGCCCCTGAGTACACAGCACATGGAAGGAAGGCTGGTGTGCAGGTCACAGGTAGATACAACTTGCCCCTAAGTACACAGTACATGGAAGGGAGGCTACTGTACAGATCACAGGTAGATACACCTTGCCCCTGAGTACACAGTATATTGGAGGAAGGCTGGTGGGCAGGTCACAGGTAGATACACCTGGCCCCTGAGTACACAGTATATGGAAGGAAGGCTGGTGTGCAGGTCACAGGTAGATACACCTTGCCCCTGAGTACACAGTACATGGATCGAAGGCTGGTGGGCAGGTCACAGGTAGATACACCTTGCTCCTGAGTACACAGTACATGGAACGAAGGCTGGTGTGCAGGTCACAGGTATATACACCTTGCTCCTGAGTACACAGTATATGGAAGGAAGGCTGGTGTGCAGGTCACAGGTAGCTACAACTTGCCCGTGAAGGCACGGCTCTAACACTGCCACCCGTCTTATCACATCCACTGCAAAGCGCCCCCAGCACTGTCAGCACCTGTGAGCCCATTCCCCTCTTCTCTCATGCTCTCTACTGCCTCCATATAGGGTATGGATGGCTCTTGCAGCAGTACTCATGTGATAACAAGGAACATGCTGATAGGAGGGGAGAGCAGACTGACAGAGAGATTTCTTAATCCAAACAATTAACAGGAACAATGCAAGCCACGGACAGAAGTGTTGGCCTTGCTTTAAAGCCCACTAATGAGGTCAGGTGTGCACAGCAGAGCTGCACTGCTAAATAATGACCAGCAGATGGCCATTTTATGAACTTTTCATTTTAGGGTTTAGATACAAAAGGTGTGATTTGCATGACTCCGCCCCCTTTCACTAACTCCTTCTTTCTTGTCTTTGTAATGAAAGCGTTGACTTTATAAATACCGTTAAAAAAGTTGTTTCCAGAACTGCTCGTTTGTTTCGGGGTCAGTCGATGCGTACAATTTACACAACGCCGGGAAGGAGAACAAAACGCAGAATATAAATAAAGAATTGGCTTGTGGGCTCATGCCTCTTATTCCGGCGCGGCGATAGGCCGCCGTTCCTGACACCATCGCAGGCGCGGTGCTTGTTCAAGTCGTTATTGCCGTCATAAATAACATCATATTTTTTTATTGGTGTACCTAACGGGAGCGGCGGCTGGAGGCCTTCCATATTGTTTAAAGGGCAATAAATCCGCCTGAGGTTTTTTTTAAGGTGTTTTACAGCCGCCAACTGAAATGGAAATCCATATTTAACTTTTCATCCGGCCCATTTTTTTTACTTGCCAGCGCTCGTTCCAAACTTCACCGCGTTCTGTTCTTTTTTTTGTATTAATGTAATAATGAAAAATAATAATAAATATAAATACTTTTCTATATATTATTATTATTATTATATCACAATGCATTCAAACTGGAA